TCATTCTAGACCCAATTCAGTACGTTATGCCAAAATTCGGGCAAATCGAAAGATATTTAGCGACTTTGGTGGACCATTTACATCAAATCAGACGAAACTATATATGGGAGCTATATCTAAATCTGGACCGATTTTCTCCAAACTTGGCAGACATCACTCTAGGCTTAATTCAGTACGTTATGCCAAATTTCGTGCAAATCAAAAGATATATAGGGACTTTTGGCACCATTTACATGAAATCGGACGAAACTATATGTGGGAGCTATATCTAAATCTGGACCGATTTTCACGAAACTTGGCAGACATCATTCTAGACCTAAATGATTAGGCTGTACCAAATTTCATGCAAATCGAAAGATATTTAGCGACTTTGGTGGACCATTTACATCAAATCGGACGAAACTATATATGGGAGCTATATCTAAATCTGGACCGACTTTCTCCAAACTTGGCAGACATCACTCTAGGCTTAATTCAGTACGTTATGCCAAATTTCGTGCAAATCAAAAGATATATAGGGACTTTTGGCACCATTTACATGAAATCGGACGAAACTATATATGGGAGCTATATCAAAATCTTGACCTATATTCACGAAACTTGGCAGACATCATTCTAGACCCAATTCAGTACGTTATGCCAAAATTCGGGCAAATCGAAAGATATTTAGCGACTTTGGTGGACCATTTACATCAAATCAGACGAAACTATATATGGGAGCTATATCTAAATCTGGACCGATTTTCTCCAAACTTGGCAGACATCACTCTAGGCTTAATTCAGTACGTTATGCCAAATTTCGTGCAAATCAAAAGATTATAGGGACTTTTGGCACCATTTACATGAAATCGGACGAAACTATATGTGGGAGCTATATCTAAATCTGGACCGATTTTCACGAAACTTGGCAGACATCATTCTAGACCTAAATGATTAGGCTGTACCAAATTTCGTGCAAATCGAAAGATATATAGGGACCGTTTACATTAAATCGGTTAAATATATATATGGGAGCTATATCTAAATCTGAACCGATTTTTCCCAATTTCAATAGGGTTCGTCCTTGGGCCGAATAAGTGACCTATGCCAAATTTCATCCAATTCGGATCATAAATGCGACCTGTACTTTGTTTACAATTTAACATGGACAGACAGACGGACGGACGGACGGACATGCATAAATCGACTTAGAAAGTGATTCTATGCATATTCTCAAAAGGAACCATGTGTCTATCTCGTTTCCTTTTGCCTGTTACAAACATATGCACAAAGACATAATACCCTGTACCACAGTGTGGTGAAGGGTATAAAAATCACGATCTTTGAGCGTTCCATCCTTAATAATGCAACCCCAGACCTTATACACATACATATGTATGGATTGATTCTCGTATCGAGCCACAACTAGCCACCTTGTAAACCAACGCAAATTTTAATTTGGGAATAACCAAAGTTTTTTTTTTATTTTTTTGAGATTAATAAATTTTTATTCAATATTTGATTATATTTGTTTGGTATTTTTCACATTGCTTTCTTATTAAAAACTATACATTTAAATTGAAATAAATATGTATATACGAATATGAGTATTTTCAATACAATTTACAAGTTTAAAAAAATAAATAAACAATAAATATTTATAATTTATGGTTGTTGTTGGTTTCTTTTTGACTAGAAGAGTTTCATTAAATTTTTTTGCACATATTTATGACTATATTTTTTTCATTTAAAAAATCGTTATAATATTTACTACATATTTAAATACTTGTATATATATATATATATATATATATATAATTTTGTGTTATTATAATATTTAAAATTAGATATATTTTAATATTTATAATTAGCCTTGAAATATAATTTATATATCTGATATATATTTTTCTTTTTTTTTTGCATTTTCAGTATTTAAAAATATATATATTTTTCAACACTACGGGAGAGTAAGTAGAAAAAATTACAACTTGTTTGCTTTATATTTATATATAATTATATATTATTTGTATGTTTATATTTAGTTATTGTTAAAAAATATTACATAGCTACTATTCTAATGAGATTTAATTTTATTTTCACAAAATTTTCAAAAAATTGTTTTCCTATATAATTATATGAAATTAAAATACAAATTAACTTGACACTGAGTGTTTATATTTTTGGGACTAGATAATCAATTTAAATTAAATTTGTATAAATTATTAAAACACAAAAAAATCTTTATTTATACATTAAATGTTTATGTTCATGTTTAATTATTTACATCTATGTGTGTTTTGGTTTTATTTAATTGTTTTTAGAAATCATAAACATTTGCAATTAAATGATGCAGCTGGAGTTTTTCATTATTATTTTTTTCAATTGTCATGCATAAAAGCAATTGTTGTTTTTTTGCATATTGAATTAATAAATTTCGATTAAATATCTAATTATTGTGAAAACAACTACCGCTCTTTATATTATTTTATTCTCACTGCTTAATTACTATTTAAATGATAATTTTGGGTTTTGTTTTTATTTTTTGTACAATTGAAATTATAGCAAATATTTATAATCAAATCCGTGATGCCTTGTTTGTTTTTTTGACTAGCATTTTAATGTATTATTTTTTGAGCATTTCATTATTTATATAATTTAAAGACATTACTTAACGTTTCTTAATTAAAAATAACAAAAATTTAATTAAAAAATTGAATAAAATAAAAAGTTGTGTACCTAAATTTCAATTTCGTTTGCAACACCTCCAACTATTTATCGGAGAAATAGATTTATCCAAGTCCGTCTTTCTGTCCATTACTACAACAATCCTAATATATAAGATAGAGTTTTTAAATTTGCAACTACATTGCTTGAAAAACGCATATATCGGTCCACGTTTTATAGTAGGCCCACATTTAACGGTACCTTCTAATTTTCAATATTTTAAGAATTTTATAGATATTTCCCAACCGATTAGCACCTAATTTGATATTATGGATTATCATAGAGTGGCAAACTAAATTTATCAATATATGAATACGTTTAGGCTTAGTCCACGTACCCACAGTTTTCCATATTTTGAGGCCATGACATTTTTTCTAACCAACCTAATATTCTGGGGTTTCGATATTAATACTAAAAAAAATAATATTAGTATTCGTTGACGTATATAAACTGTACCTCCAATTTTCGATATTTTAGGGCATTTTTTTAAACCGAATTGACTCCAATTAGATATTTTGGGTGAAAATATATTCTGGGTTTTCGATATTAATACTAAACCAGTGAGCGGAGCAGTATAGTTGGACGGGGCCGACGATACGATACCCTACACAACTTCCATGAACATCTAACTTTCTGTGGTTCTATATTCTGAGATTGGGCAATATTTCGCGATATTTGCACACTTTTGACTGGCTAGAGTTCAGCAAATGTTACTAATAATCAGTACAGCCACTCTAATTACTTGTCCAGATTCTCTTCACCGAGGGGTTGTGTTGTGATGTTCGGATTTCGACTCGAAAAGTAAAAATAATTAAGTTTTCGGTCCACTTCATCTGAAAAATTATTATCTGATCATACCCTAACATTTTAGGCGTTGTCCTTGACCATAATTGGAACCTCATGGAACATTTCAAAGCGATCAGTGTTATATTTCCGCACTCCAGTGTGGTAATAGGTTACTAAATAATATATGAATACGTAAGCACCTGTAAATATTTAAGTGTAACTCCCGCATCCGAGTACCTACGACCATATAATTGGTATCAATTTAAAGGTCAACCACTCCACTTGGATATACTATCAACTTCTCGGGTCTATGTCCTTCAGGGGTAAATATATACTCTATAGAATACAAATTTTGTCATTTTTCACACAAAAGTTAGGGTCCATTTGACCCGCTAAATATTGATCGATCTTTATCAAAACAGGCATGCTTATTCTTTGGCACGATCCCCTTCTCCAGGCAAAAATTCGCATTGTTTATGGCAATTGCGGCCTCCCTAAATATTAACCGATATTTTCCAAAAACAATAGGGGTCTTCATTGGCCAGAACCCATCCTACATGCAAAATTTCGTGAAGTTTGGTCCATAACTGTGGCCTGTATCGTGTTTACAAATTGTAATGGACAGACGGACGAAGGCACACACATGTCTAGATCGACTCAGCTAGTCGAGATATGACGATCGGTATACCTAAAGGTAGGTCTAGGACCAGATAACTTTCTTCGTTCGACATTTTTACTCCATTGATCCTTCCAATATTAATTGATCATAGGTAGCACATGCTAAATTTAGTGATAACGTGTCCCTTACTGCAGCCTGTACTTTGACATAAAATTACAATGGACAATTGGACGGACGCATATAGTCAGATCGGCACAGGAAAACAAAATTTGACTTACCGCATTTTAAAAGGTTGGGTTAGGACCAATATTTGGTGGTGTTACAAACTCTTGGGGCCACATAAAATTATAATATGTATCCTTACAACACTGTTGTCCTTTTTGAGAAGTTCCGAAATAAATATATAAATAATAAAACTTATTTAAATGTAAATAATAAAATATATAACAAACAATAATTATAAAAACTAAATTAACAAAAAGATTACAAACAATAATAACAACGTATTACAAAAAAATTATTAAATACAAATTAGTTTAGAAAAATAAACAAATCGATATAAAAGCCTTTCAGGTACTTAAAAATTAAACAAATATATACACACATACCAAGACATAATATAACACAAATAAAATGGTGGGGTGTAAAATGAGATCTCGTTCAAAAGACAAAGAACAATTTTGGAAATTTCTTTAAAAAAAACATCTTCAGGAATGATTTCGGGTTTCGACTTCTACGAGCATACATGGACACCATTTCAGTGTCCAATCTTCCTCAGATAATTTACTCCCGTTCTCTTTTTCAATTTGAAATCTGTATAAATTGTATATTTGGCGCTGTCTCAATTGCCTGTCCCGTTGACGTGGTCGCCACCGTCCCCACTCCCGTTGTCGTTCTCAATTGTTGTGCCATCGTTTTGGCAAATGCCGTATTCTATTGTTCCATTATAATGGTATCATCTGCTTTGACATTACCGCTATTAATTGCCTCCATGGCTTTCGACAGCAGTGTGGCATCTTTTAGGCTAACAACTTGTAAAACTTGCGGCTGTTCACCGGGTGCACCTTGTATCATCATTTGATGCATGCCGGGTGATATGTTGATTGTTTCCAGCTGATCGCCGTTTTCAACCTGCAAAGGAAAGAGGAAGAAAGAAATTATTAGAATTTTTTTATTTAATTTGTTTTTAATATTTAATTTATTTTTAAATTGTAATTTGTTTTTAAAATGTATTTCATATATTTCGGGCTTATCTAAAGGGATAATTATGGTTTTCGTCAGGTCCATTTGCAAATTTGCTTTCCGAATAAAACAATAAATTGAAAAACAAAAAATCCTGGTAACTTAAGAATTGAATAAGATTTAAGGGTTACTGAAAATAAGAAAAAATTAAAATAATAAAGTTAAAAATAAAACAAATTTAAAGACCAGCAAACCACACAACAGAACGTATAGTACCAATCCAATACTTTTCCAATAAATAAATTTAAATTTCAAAAAAGAAATCCATTGATTAGGCAACATAAGAATTGAATGAACATTTTAGGTAACTGAAAATACAAAATAAATAAAAAATAAAAAAAAAAAATAAACAAGAAAAGACGTTGATAGATCACTGCACAGTATTGCAGAATACAGATCCAATATCTTTCGGTAAAAACTCAAAATTTCAAATAAAAAATCCAGTATGTAAGCCAACTCAAGGCATTTAATCTTTAACTGAAATAAAAGAAAGAAATAAGAATAAAAATAATAAAATAAAAAACCAGTAAGGACTTTAGTAAAGTCGAACGGAACGACTATATGATACCCTTCACCACTTTGGGTATATTCAACAGATGAATCCTAACAGACGTAGCATTTTTAAAGGACCACAAACATGATACTAAATTTTTCATTTTCAGATATAGAAGCCAGCAACGTACACAGGAATTCATTTCGGGGGGATACAAAATGAAAAAATTCGCTGTTGCAAACATAAATTTACTGTGAAAAAAATTCATTTCGGGGGGGCCCGGGCCCCCCGGGCCGCCCCCCTGCGTACGTCCCTGATAGAAGCTATATCTAAATCTGAACCGATTTTCACGAAACTTAACACACATCATTCCAGTCCTAATTCATTACGCTATGCCAAATTTCGTGCAAATCGAGAGATATACAGGGACTTTGGTGCACCATTTACATTAAATCGGACGAAAATATATATGGAAGCTATATCTAAATCTGAATCGATTTTCATGAACTTTCACTTACGTCATTCTAGGCCTAATTCTGTACGCTATGCCAAATTTCGTGCATATCGAGAGATATATAGCGACTTTGGCGCACCATTTACCTTAAATCGAACGAAAATATATGTGGGATCTATATTTAAATCTGAACCGATTTCCACGAAACATAGCACACATCATTCTAGACTTAATTTAGTACAATATGCCAAATTTCGAGCAAATCGAAATATATTTAGGGACTTTGGCGCACCATTTACCTCAAATCAGACGAAAATATATATGGGAGCTATATCTAAATCTGAACCAAATTCAATAGGGTTCGTCCTTGGTCCAAATAAATGAGATGTGTCAAATTTCATCCAAATCGAATGATTAATTCGACCTGTACTTTGTTCTTAATTTAACATAAACAGACGGACGAACATGCATAAATCGACTCAGAAAGTGATTCTGTGCATATTCTCAAAGGGAACCATGGGTCCACCTCGTTTCCTTTAAGTGTGGTGAGGGGTATAAAAATTCAGTTAAAAAAATTATAAAAAATATAATTTTAACATTTCTACTTACACAGGAAAACAATAAAAGATTTAAAAATAAAATAAATAAATAAATTAAATTTTTAATTCAATATAATTTGTTTATATTTATTTACATAAATATTTAATTAATATTTCATTGAATGAAATAAAACACAAAGAAATCATTAAATTAAAAAAAAACATTGTAAATTTATAATAAATATCTAATCTATTGTGTGTATTTAGATGGACATAGCTATGTACCCATGTGTGCGTGTGTTTTTGGTACAAGGATTTAATGTGTTTATTACAAAACTAATTTAAATAAACAAACAAAAAATTAAAAAATATAAATTTTAGGCACACACATTTGTCTATATACATGTAAATATAGATGATAGAATAAAAACTAAAATGAAAATTTAATTAAATCAAATATTGACAATAGTAACAAATAAAAATTTACACATGTCACATGGGTCAGGGCAGAAGCACATGTGTGTTTTTCGGCCAATCAATCAATTGAACAAAAAAATAAACAAAACATAACGGTAATTACATTACATAGATATTTAACTACAAAGAAAATATTCAAATTATTAGCCATAATTACATTTGTCCGAAATTAAAATATGACAATTTTTAATTAGCTACAAAAAAAAAATTATGATTTTCATATTACATATATTTGTTTGGTGTAATTACAACAACTAAAAAATATATTAGAATTTATTAAATTCTAATTGTATATAAATTAAATTTGAATACATAATAAGATAATTATTTTTAAATATTAATTTTGTTTTAATTATTTATTTATTAATAATTGTTTGTAATGGCTAAGAAAAGGTGGGTGGGTACTTCTGATTGTTTTTTGTGTTTTAATGTTTTTTATAAAAACAAATAAAAATTAAAACATTCTAATAATTGCACATGTATTTAGAAGTGGGTTTAAAATAGAATATAACAATAACAAAACATTTATAATATTTAACTAAAAAATAATGAAATTAATTATAGCAAAAAGTGGACTCTTTTGATACAAATAAAAAAATAAAATTGATACAAAAATAAAACTAAAAAAAATTAAAATTAGTTATAGAATAAAGTGGACACTTTTGATATTTGGTTTATAGCACGTGTTTTTGGTATTAAAAATAATATAATGTGGTAAAATAAAAATTAAATATTTATAATAGGGTTGGGGGTTTTTGGCTCAAATTACATTTCACAATTCAATTTTCAATGTTTTTTTTTTACAAAACAAAATATATATACTTAAAAATAAGCAATAAAAAATAAAATACAAAATTCTTTAGATAACAAATAAAATTAAATAATAAAACAATATATTTCCAATTATATCTCTTTTACAATACAAAACTATTTTTGTTACAAGTAAAATAATAAAATCAAAAAAAAAACTTTAAATAACAAATAAATGTATTACGTATTTGGGCGGGGTTTCTGTTTGCCTCAAATTAAAAAAAAATATATATATATATATATATATATATATATATTGTAATTTTCGTTTTAGGGGGTTTAGGAACATAATTATTTTGTATGATATAATTTATATTAATTTTTTATACATAAATTTTATATATGCATTTTTAAAACAAAAAATATATGTATAAGAAATAAAAATTATATGCAATGATATATATGTTTTGTATGTGATTGTTTTTGGTTACTTTGTAAATATTATAAACAACTTTGGTTTAAATTATTTTAAGCAATTTTTGGTTTTTGGTATAATAGCAAATTGTTTCATTTTAATTTTCAATTAATTGAAAAAATTTATTAATTAAAATGGCAATTTTTTTTTAACTAAAATAAACAGATGTCAAACCAACCTACAGCAAGAACAACAGGATCGAAATAATTTATTATATCCTATGGAACTATGTTAGGAGGTTATCCACTCCCTGCTTCAGCCCGTCTTTAAGACCCCCCATTTGCTGGTATATATTCCGCATTTTAGCACTTAAACAAATACTCCTTTCATAATCTACCTCAGAGGCTGACTTCAGTCCATTTCTTACAAAACAGACTCCGTTTATCTCACCTATTTTAATGACTCAATTCAAATTAAATATCCAAAATAAATGCCTTAAAATTCCCTATTATGCATAGGCAAAGCCCTGAACCTGCTTATAGACTTTTATGTCATTATTGTCAATATCCAACTCTACCATCATAAAAATTCCATAACAATCTAAACATGATTCTAAGGATATTCTCGAAAGGAACCATGGGTCTATATCGTTTTCTTTTGCCTGTTACAAACATATGACAAAGACATAATACCCAGTACCACAGTATGCTGAAGGGAATGAAAAGTGGACCGATATATCCCAACTTCAATACCAAACATGACAGGTGTAGAAGCTATGACAATTTATATTGCTAGTTCTATCGTGATTTCAGCAGACATGACTAAATCCTATTTTATTCTGATCACATATATACATAAACATTGAAAAACTTAGCCAAGTCCAGTCAGGCTGCCAACCCTAAATTGCGCCACCGCCACTAGCCTTAGCAGCAATCGAAGAAATTAAATTCCCCATTCAGCTTGTCTCTGAAGACGCCTTACAGCTCGTCTTTAAAATAGTCACTTCTGCTGCGTTATGGAAGACCCCCTTCAGCTCGATTATGAAAGACTTCCTACAGTTCGTCTAAAATGAATCTCTTCATATCGTTTGCAAAGACTACCTTCAACTTGTCTGAAAACACCAACTGGTTTTACTTTTAGTTTCAGAAACAAACAATTAGTGTCCCGATAATGTCCCGAGTTTTAAAAGTATCTTAAAGATATTCCTCAATGGCCTGATTAATTAATGGTTTTTAAATGAAATTTATTTTTTCGCCTTTTTATAATAGGACCTTCAATTCAACTCGCTAACTGACATTCGAGCCTACATTTAAATAACCTTCAAAAATTCACAACAATAAATCAGTCAATTAATTATTATGAATAGCGGTATAATGGAAAATATTAAATGGCCTTAGAACAAAAGCGCTGTTTGGATGCTCTTTTAATATTTCCAACACTTCCCCCCTACACTACGCGATTAACAAAAGGACATGGAAAACCTAAAACAAAATGCCGACTGCCTACAACTAGGGGAGAAAACGATTAATATTAAATATTAAAACAAACAAAGGTTTAATATAACAATAAGGAGGAGAAACAGGGAGCAAATGTTAGTTTTTAGTTGCATCTAAATTTGAAATTATCCAATGGAATTTGTTTTTTATTTCTGCGTAATTACATGAATTTACATAGATAGAGGGCAGCCTCGTAGGTGAATGTAATTAAAAAAACAAAATTTGTTCTAGGTAAAACAATGTTAAGCAATTTTCCAATCGGCTAGACAAAGCTGATAAAAATCAGCACCAATTTTAAATAAAAAATTAGAAACAATTTCATAGAAAAATCAGTACGGAGAGGACTAAAGTGGAAACCTAGATATTATAAAAAGTTGGCTGGAAAATATATACTAAAAACCTTCAGTTCTATGCCGAATTAAAAAGTGTCTACATTTTCAAATTAATTAATTTAAGTAGGATTCATAGCGAAAGAAGGCAGCTTTGCACATCTCCTAATATTCTACCGAACGAATGCTACCAATCTTAATTACCAAAAAAATAACCATTTACTTTTTCACTTCGATTCATGCTGCTGCTGTCTGCAGGTTACATCTGTATAAGACAATTTATAATTGTCTTATTATAAAAATATTGCATATTTTTATTTTATTTTTTTTTTCATTTTATGTTATAAAATGTTTTTAAACATTTTAGGGTTATGTTCCTTTTTTTTTTTTTTGTTTAACTTTGGTGACTAGATGATGATCAATTATAATAATGATGGCGAAGCATGGCTTATGAATTGATGATATGACACGATTCTTAAAACTATAGTGGAACTTTTAAATAAAGTTCAATTGCAAATTCATTCATAATCGTGTCACATAACTACTTGGACTACAAACTAAAATATTTATCAATAACAAACAAATAAAGTAAAGCTAATTTAGTTTAAATTTTTTAAATTAAAAATATACATTACTTATTTACAACAACAACAAAAATATTTCTAAAAATTCCCAGCAATGCAATGGTAAATAATTTAATTAGAAGTAGGGAGAAATATCGAACTACTATATATACAAGTCTATAAAGACACCTACAGCTCGTCTATGAAAGACACATATCGTCTATAAAAGGTACCCTTTAGCTCGTCTATCAAAGACGCCCTTCAGCTCGTCTATGAAAGTCTCATTTCAGCCCGCCTATAAAGACTTCATCCAGCTCGTCTAATAGACTTTCTTTCGTCGATATATAAAATCCCCCTTCAGCTACCCTATAAAAGTCTGCATTCGGCTTGCCTATGAAATCCCCCATTCAGCTTGTCTATAAAGACTCAAAGTCTCCTTCAGTTTATCAGTTCATCTATAAACACCCCGTATATAAAAATCTCTTCAGATCGTCTATATAGACTCCCTTCAGTTTGTCTATACAAGTATACAAGACTCCCTTAGGCTGGTCTATAAAGACTTCTTTCAGATCATCTAAGTCTCCCTTCACTTCCTGTACTTAAAACTCTTCCATAAGACTACAATCAGTTCGTCCATAAACATAGCTCTTAGCTCGTCTATGAAAACCCCCACTTCATCCCCATAAAATACACCCAACAGCAGATCGTTTCCATCGCCTCTTCATGAAAAAAACCCACTCAAGTCAACAAACCAAAAGTAAATTCGATTTAAAATTCAGCAATGTGTGTCTGTCTGTGCTTGTAAAATTGAAAGTCAATCGTTATTATCATGCCATCCTGCCTTCCACTCCCAATTAAATTTCATTCACATCACATTGCAATTCAAAAATTTGATTAATTGTCCAATGATTCAAGTTTAATGCTTTTGGAGACATCAACACTTAAAAGGCGATTGCCAACACGAACATTGCCGACACTACAGACACCTACAATACCACCCAAACCCGCCGCCGTCGCAACACCAGCATTATTGCCAGTAGCATTTGAATTATTAACATCACCACCATCATTGTCGCCCCCATCAACACCACCACCACCGTTAGCCGCCATCATTGAGGTGTTGTCATCGACAATTTGTATATTTAAAAGGCCTTCGGTGCTGCTATTCGACTGATTATGATTAGTGGTGTCATCATTATTTGAGTGCAACAATGATGTCCCGCCAGAGGATGTAGAAGTGTTCATCATGTCAACACCTTCTTCCTCGATTTTAATGGGTACAACAATTTTGTTGTTATGTTTGCGACGTTTATGGTGGCTAGATTTCAAATAATTGTTGTTGTTACTACTACCACTTGCAGTATCTGCATGACTACGTCTACGATGTTGTTTATTATTGGTAATGCCCGTCGTCGTTACGGTCATACCACCAGCAGGTGCTGTGGCAATTATGGCTGCTGCCGTTGGATGATGTTGTACATTGCCAGCAGCGGCAACAACAATTGGCAATGCTGTGGCAGCAAACTTTATTTGACCATTATTATTACTATTGTTGTTGTTGGCATTGACATTGAGGTGGTTATTGTTTGCTGTTGTTGCATCGTTATTGTTGAGCAGATTAGCAGCAGCAGCCGCTGTTAAATTCAAATGGGCCGGATTGGCGGCAATAAAAACTTTTGTCCCGGCATTTTGCAAAACATTTGTTAGACTTTGTTGATTTAGAATGGCTTGATGGTGTTGTAGCTGATGTTGGTGTTGCTGATTTTGTTGCTGTTGACTAGAATTGTTTGCAGCTGCCGCTACTAAACTTGATGCATTTATTATCTGGCAACGAATATTGTTGTTATTTGTACTACTACTATTACTGTTGTTGTTGTTACAACTACTACTACTATTATCACTGTTGTTACTATTATTACCACTACTATTACTACTCATATTGTTGTTGGTATTAAAATTTAATGTCTGCATCAAATTATGCCCCGGACCACCCAATCCACTATGGGCCAGCAAACGTTGAGCAGCTGTTGTAGCAATGGGTGTTGCTGCCATTATTGAATAACATTGAAATTGTTGCGTTGGCATTTGAACACCCGTATTACCACCACTGCCACTTGCATCATCTTCATTTCCTTCATTTGAGCTATTGTCATTATTGTTGCTACTACTACTATTATTGCTATTATTGTTGTTGTTTGAAGAATCTACCTGCATTGGTGTTATACAAACAGTACCATCACTGTTTGTATGGATTTGTTGTATATTGGCCATCATCGATTGATACATGGATGCTGAGACGGGTACTGTTATCATATTGCTAACAGAGACGGGATAACCTGAAAAAGAAGATAATGAGGGGAAATTAATTAATTGAGTTATAAATATATAAAATAGAAATAAAATAAACAATAATTAATTGACGACCTTATCTTTGACTCTTCAGAAATATACATCCTTCTCAACTCTCCACTCTAATCGATTTCTTTCATATATAATAAACACTTACTCATCAACACGTCTATAGTGAAGATAGCCTTCAGTTCATATTTAACAAATATTCCATTCAAGCCAAATACATGAAAAGTTTCCCTCAGCTACAAAAGACTGTATTCAATTCACATATAAAGACCTATAATTAAAATTGTTCCCTGCAGGGCTATAAAGACATAGTCTATAAAGATTCTTCCAACTCGTCTATAAAGACTCACTCCAGCTTGTCGTCTACACAAAACTCCCTTCAGCTCGTCTATAAAGACGTCCTTCAACTCGCCTTTAAAGACTCCCTTCAGCTCTTCTTTAAAGGCTCCCTTTACATCGTCTGTAAATACTACCTTCACCTCGTCTATAAAAGACTCCCTTTAGCTCGACTATAAAGACTCCCCACAGCTCGTCTATAAAGACTCCCTGCAACTCGTCTATAAAGACTTCCTACAGCTCGCATATAAAGACTCCCTACAGCTCGTCTATAAAGACTCCCTACAGCTTGTCTATAAAGAATCCCTACAGCTCGTCTATAAAGACTCCCTTCAGCTCGTCTATAAAGACGTCCTTCAACTCGTCTTTAAAGACTCCTTTCAGCTCTTCTTTAAAGGCTCCCTTTACCTCGTCTGTATAGACTACCTTTACCTCGTCTATAAAGACTCCCTACAGCTCGTCTATAAAGACTCCCTACAGCTCGTCTATAAAGACTCCCTACAGCTCGTCTATAAAGACTCCCTTCAGCTCGTCTATAAAGACTCCCTTCAGACCTCGTCTATAAAGACTCCTTCTAGCTCGTCTATAAAGACTCTCTTCAGCTCGTCTATAAAGACTCGGCTATAAATGCTACCTTCAGCTCGTCCACAAAGACCCCTTCAGCTCGTCTATAAAGACTCCCTTCAGATCGTCTATAAAGACTCCCTTCAGATCGTCTATAAAGACTCCTCTAAGCTTGTTTATAAAGACTCCCTTCAGCTCGTCTACAAAGACTCCCTTCAGCCCGTCTATAAAGACTCCCTTCATCTCTTCTATAAAGACTCCCTTCAGCTGGTATGTAAAGACTCTATTCAGCTCGTCTATAAATACCCCTTCAGTCCATGTATAAGACTCCTTCAGCTCGTCTATAAAGACTACTTTCAGCTCATCTATAAAGACCCATTCAGGTCGTCTAAAAAAGAGTAATTTCAGATTGTCTCAAAGACTCCATACATCTATAAAAACTTCCTTCATCCTCTCTATAATGATGATCTCTGAGATCGTCTATAAACCTCCCTCCAACTTTTCATCTTTTTTCATCTAGTCTATGAAGATTCCCTTCAGCTTACTTACCTTGACCATCCTCCGTGGTAATATAAATTTGTCCATCTTGGGCGACAGTGGCTTCAGTTAAATCAACAGTCATATTTTCATGACCATTAACATCGGCAAGACTTTGAACGGTTTGTATGGTGGCACCACCTTCGCCTTGATGGAGCTGCAACAAAATAAAACAATAATAATAAAATTTACAATAACAAACCACAGTAATAATAATAAACCACTTACCGTTGCAACACCCTGAACCTGAGCTGTTGTACCATCGGGCAATGTAATAATAGGATTATTTGGATCAACCTGTATCAGAGATACTGTGCCATCGGCATTTTGTATGGTAGATAATACCGTTTGGGTGGTGTACTAGATATTGGGAAGAGAAGAAAAATGAAAGAAATTATTAGACGGGAATGTTATAAAAAATTAAAATAAAGTTTAAAAATAAAAAACATAACAAAGCAAAAACAGGTTTCAAAAATCATCAGCAGAAATAAAAATAAATAAAAAACAAAATGCAATTAAAAACAATGAAACCAAAATGTTTTCGAAACAAATTGTATTTTATTGTAAAAATAAAAGAAAAATAATATACAGCAGCAAAGAACAAAGGGGCAATACATTAAGAAAACAACAGCCAGAAGAAAAAAACTTTTTAAAAATAAAAACACAATGCTTGAAAATATAACAAAATCACAACCTTATTTCTCTATAAATCAATTTAAAAAAAAATCGAATGAATAACCAATACCCTGAATTTAAATTTGTTCTTTTTTCCAAAAACCAGGGAGTTGTATTTTATTCACTTCAATTTGTTCACTTTAAATTTTACAGAAATAGGTTGTTGAGTTCCTATTTTATCTGGATATTCACCGCTTGTTGTTACATTATATTTTATTTTCAATATTTTAGATGTTAAATTGCACAACAACAATTAAGTGGTATTCATCATAAAAAATATCGGAACAATTTTGTAGCATTTCTCATCAACTCAGTATTGTTACGAAACGAAAATTAGAAGAAGAACAACAACAAAAAGAAAAAAACTCAAAAGAAAATTGACAAAATAGTTTTGTTGGGGTTTTACGAACATCAACATCTCCCAATGTCATGGGTTCTATGCAAACTTGGGCATTAGCAATGGTCTGGGCAGCATTCGTTGTGGTATGAATCTGTTGATGTTGAGTCTGATGATGTTGTTGCTGCTGTTGTTGATGATGCTGCTGATGATGTTGTTGCTGCTGATGATGTTGTTGTTGCTGGTGCTGTTGTTGCTGCTGGTGCTGTTGTTGTTGTTGCTGATGATGCTGCTGCTGTTGTTGCTGCTGATGCTGTTGTTGTTGCTGATGATGCTGCTGTTGTTGGTGTTGCTGCTGCTGATGATGTGTTGTAATTTGTGTTATCGGTGCTGGACACAATTCTATTTTTGTCGATGCTGGTAATCTCGCCGTGGTGGTTATATGTTGATCATTCGTACTCTGTATAATTGTCGGTCCAGGATTATTGGGATTATGTGGATTTGTTGTGGTTATAACAGTGCCCGAACTATTTATCTTAACCACATTTACTTGTTGCTAAAATAATTTTAAGGGGGAATGGGGTTTTTTCATGAATATTATTGCATTATTTTGAAAGTTGCAAACGTTTGTGGTTATCGGCAACACAATTAAGCAATTTGTTAATAGCAAAGATCAGTAATATTTGAAAATTATATTCATCACAGAAAGTTAGCACGAAAGTCGTACATGGCAGAGTATCATACTCTGCCCTTCACTGAAGTACTCCAGTAGTCGTAACGCATAATAAATTACGTATGATTGCTAAATATCGACTTAACCATATAAAGACTCCTCTTTCAGCTCGTCTATAAAGACGCCCTTCAGGACGTCTATAGAGGCTCTCTTCAATTCGTCTATAAAAATTAACTTCAGCCTGACTATAAAGGTTCCCTTCAACTCGTCTATAAAGACTTGAGTTCATCTAAAAAAATTGTCTTATGTTCGTCTATAAATACTCCCTTCTGTTCGCCCTCCAACTAATCATTAAAAGCTCCCTACAGCTTGTATAAAGAACCCTTTAGCTAGCCTGCAAAGACTATATTTATATCATGTATAAAGACCCCCTTCAGCTCGTTTATAAAGACTCCCTGCAGCTCTTCCATAAAGACTCCCTGCAGCTAGTCTATAAAGACACCTTTCAGCTCGTCTATAAAGACTCCCTGCAGCTCGTCCATAAAGACTCCTTACAGCTAGTCTATAAAGACTTCCTGCAGCCCGTCTATAAAGACTCCCTGCAGCCCGTCTATAAAGACTCCCATGAGCTCGTCTATAAAGACTCCCTTGAGCTCGTGTATAAAGACTCCCTTGAGCTCGTGTATAAAGACTCCCTTGAGCTCGTCTATAAAAACTCCCTTGAGCTTGTCTATAAAGACTCCCTTCACCTCGTCTATAAAGACTCCCTTCAGCTCGTCTATAAAGACTCCCTTCAGCTCGTCTATAAAGACTCTCTTCAGCTCGTCTATAAAGACTCCCTTCAGCTCGTCTATAAAGACTCCCTTCAGCTCGTCTATAAAGACTCCCTTCAGCTCGTCTATAAAGACTCCCTTCAGCTTGTCCATAAAGACTCACTTCAGCTCGTCTATAAAGATTCCCGTCAGCTCGTCCCCTCTGCCCGTCTAGACTTCATTCGCCTCCTCTATAGAGACATATTTTTAAAGATTTTATTGTGGCAGTTACATAACATTCTTTAAAGTCAGGACCAATCTACCTCCTAATGGTAGGATGTTAAGTTTTCTTCTAATAGAAAGTTACAATTAGGACAATAAATAGTATTCTCATAGATTTTCTTATTGAAGTCTCTCTTATAGAAGACCAAAGGAAATTTATTTTAGAAGACCAAAGCTATCTTCTTATAAGAGACATTTTGGTCTATGGTTGTTCCCATAGAAGTCCAAAGGTATTGAAGTAGAATAATTTTTTTTTAAAGGCAAATGATTTTCTTGTAGATAACCAAATGTTTTTCTGTTTAAATACTAAGATATTTTCTTATATAGATGAAAAGGCCAGAACCACTGCAACGAAGGCCGAAGTGTCTTTTTGCAGAATGTTTAAGGATTTTCTTAAATTTGGAACAAGAGTTCTTTTTATAGAAAGATCAAATGGTCTTCATTTTTAAGACCAAAAGCTCTTTTAAACGAAAAAAAAAATTCTTATAGAAAACCAAATGGAGTTCTATAGAAGACATTCGCGAAGATCAAATGCTAATCCTTTAAAAGATCAAATGGCCTTTCATTTAACCTTCGTATAATCTTCCTTGTCTATAAGTCAAATACGACTATTATAACCATTGTTGCTTATAATCGTATTCGACTTTATTCCTCTCACCAAAAACTCATATTTTAAATGCTAAAAATGTCTTCTTATAGAAAACCAAATGGTAGTCCTATAAAAGACATTCGTGAAGACCAAATGATATTCTTTTCGAAGACCAAATGGCCTTTCATTTAATTTTTATATAATCTTCTTTATCTATAAGTCGAATACGATTATTATTGTAACCATTATTCCTTATAATCGTGTTCGACTTTATTCCTCTCACTTTTTCAAAGAACGTGATTGTGAATATATAACATATATCGGAAAAAAGGAGTTAATATTTACCCTTACATTAGTTGTTGTATTATTAGTTGGAGCATTTGTTACAGTTTGTATAGTAGTGGTAGTATTATTGTTATTATTGACAGGCTGTACAATCACCTCTTCTTCCTCCTCATCCTCTTCGTGTGAGATCAATTGTGAGACTTTGTCATCTTCATCGGCAAATGTGGGTAGTAAATCTTCGCGACCATGATATTTATAACAGTTGATGACAATTTTACGCAATGCATGTGTCCAGGAAATCTAATGCGAAATAAATAATAAGTAATAAATATTTTAAAACAAAAAAAAGAAAAGAAACAATTAATACACACCTTTTGTTTATCATCTTCAGATCTGGCATCCATACGCACATTAGCCCAGGGCAATTCTTTGGGCCACCATGGTGGCCGTGTGGCCTCACGACCCCAACCCGGCTTACCCCGCCCCGTGGAATATTTCAACATTAATGGGATAAATGCCCGCAACTGGGCCTGGGTCATTTTCTCCACCGGTGTTGGTATACCATCAATAATCAATGGTGGCAATTCAAAGAGCGATGGATCTTCCTGTGGTGGCGGTGGTGCCTGCTGGGCTAAAGCATTCTCCAGCTCATCCATAACAATATTCTTAAGATTACGTACTACATCTTCTAACGGTTTGGCACCGAATACTTTATAACTTGTATTGGGTTTACCCGGTGTGGCAACCAACACCACAGCCTGTTTGCCCACACGGCCTGTAAATTCATAGATTATACCGCGCAATTTACGCAATAGCCTATTCTGTTGTCGTTTACGCACCGACGGATTCGTTTCGAACGAATGTTGCCTTTTGCGCTTCTTCGATGATGCAATGGCAGCGGCAGCCGCTACTCCCACCGGACCGGCAGCGGCCAATTGATTGGCCAAATCATCCTGTACGGCGGCTAATTCATTTTCATCGAAAATACTGCCATCACTGCTAATTAAATCATCATCGTCATCGTCGGAGGCCATACTATCGTCGAGCATTTCAATTTTATATGTGGTCTGATGTTTTTGGCCATGATTTTGTATACTGTCCACAGCGGCTTGTGTGGCATTCGATACGGTTGATATTGTGGTGACATTCATTGTGGATGGCTGGATGGTTGACTATGGATGTATGGTGTAAGTGTGTGTGGAAAATTTTAGTAGCTTCTAGGAAAGGACCCACTTTTTCAGTTAAGGCCTTTCCGATTATTATTAGGTTATGGGTTCTAGAGACCCAAAATCTTTGGTTTCGTTACTTAAAAATTAATTCGAATTTTTTTTACTTTTGTTGTTGTTGTTATTGCACTTTTTCCTTCCTTTTTCTTTCTCTTCTAGACTATATCAGTGTATGTTTTTTTCTCGTTTTATTTCAATTAGCAAAAAGTGTATTGATAGTTGTAAGAAGACAGTAGTATAGATGTTCGCTTAGAGTTGTGGTTGTTGTAAGAAGTTTCAATCTGCAAAAAAGAAAAAAAGATACATTAATTTATAATTTGAATATTCCTTTAATTTAATATTGAGAAGTAATGTAAAGAAGTTCAGAGTGCAAATTAGTTTCATTGGAATATATCCTTTTAACCCTAGCGATTCATCGTAAAGGTATAGTCATAGCTTTTGTGAGGTTTAATATATAACTTTTGGTGGTCTGATATTACTTTTTTCTATCATTCTCTCTGAATTAATTGTCACTGATTTTAATGCCCAAAGGCCGTCTTTTAAAATATAAAATGTTCTTATTGAAACCCGAATGATAGTCCAATAGATGACATTTGCGAAGACCAAATGATATTCCTTTAGGAGACCAAATGGCCTTTCACTTAATCTTTCCTGTCTATAAGTAAAATAAGAGTATTCTTATAATGCTTGTTTCTTTCACTATTATCGACTCATATTTTTAAACAAAAAACTATGGAAGACCAATAGGCATTTTTATAGATTACAACATGGCTTTTTTTTCTTCATACAAAATGTTAATAATATTAGTCCAATTTTTATTGTAGCCCCCCATATAACATAACATCCCAAATATCGATATCTCGGTACGGGTGGGCACGTGTTTCATCCAAATTGGTTGTGATTTTATATTTTGAATTCTCATGGCGTAAAAATGTCACTAACAAATATTTTCAACATTTTCCCATATTTCCGGGTAGCCCTCATATAATAGTACAACCAAATTGGTTCCAATTTGATTTTTCAGGTTTTCATGGTTTGTCAAATCTTCCTACTAAAAATAATCAAAATCGATCTATCACTTTTTTCCGGTATTTTGGGGGGATTTGGGCACGTTTTTCAAGAAAGTTGCCTCCAATTTAATTTTTCAAGTTTCTCATGGGGTGTCAAATCTTCCTACTAATAATAGTCAAAATCGGTCTAGTTTTTAGGGTAGCCTCCATATAACACTACATCCCAAATTTCGGTATTTTTGTGAGTTTTGCAATTCTCATTGAATAAAAAATCTTTCAATATTCCTGGTATTTTTTTTAGGTTCTCAAGGAGTGTCAAATCTTCCTACCAAAAATGATTAATATCAGTTTACGTTTTTTTTATAGTTCCCATATAATGGTACCGACCCATGTTCGGCATTTACAAACATGTATCTACACACATATAAGTCGAGGACTTAACCAGAACCGGCCGTGCGATAGAACAGTGAACAGCATGACCTATCATGCCGGAACTGTTTAACCTCTACCTTTCTTCATGAGGAGACGAAGATGCTTCCCTTACGTCAGCATAGCAATATGCTTTCGTTGCAGTACCTGCTCGGGAGCTTCCGGGATAATCATCCCAACCATCATATGGTGGATAAGACTCCCCGAACCAGGCGTGTCAGGAAGGATCTGCATGATCTAGAGAGAGTGGTTCAACGTTATAAGAGGAGCCTCTAGATCAAGTTGGTTATCGAGAAGGTCTGAATAGCATTCATACTGATACAGTGCCACAGCGCTGAACGGATAGAGATTGAATGCCGTCCACGGAACTCCGGGTGGTGGAGGATAGTTTAGACCGGCCGAACTTAACGACACTTTACTTGATGCAATATCATTGTACATTAGATTTATGAAATTTTTAAAGCACTCCAGGTGGTGCAGGGTATAAAAAATTCGATCCGACCAAGCTAAACTACGGTTTTACTGGTTTTATGATACCAAAAGGTAATCGAAGACCAACACATATTTTTAAGAGAATATGAAAAGAATTTCTTTCTATCAAATGGTCTTCATTTAGAAGACCAAAAGGGGGTGGTCTTTTAGAAGACTTACAAATGGTACTTTCATATAATCAGTTTTTGAAGTACAATTTAGAGGAAATCGGTCAAAAATATATATGATAGCTATATCCAAATTTGAACCGATTTAAAAAATACTTAACACAGGTCGTTTTAGGGTCAATTTCGTATGGTGTGCCAAATTTCATTGCAAACGTTGGGTATTTGGTGCCCCATTTAAATGGAATCCGACGAAAATATATATGAAAACTATATCTAAATCTGAACCGATTCTCATCAAGTTCTATAGGATTCGCCCTTGGGTCAAATAAATGAACTGTGTCTAATTTCCCAACATTCGTATAAAAAATGTGGCCAGTAGAACGAATTTCCATAAAATGTTGCGATTTCGAAACATCGTGCACATAATTATTTAGAACCTATAAAATGTGAATAGTGTAGAATTTAATTCCATAGAATTATTACAATATTCACTTATTCTACAGTTTAGTTTTGTGTTGTGGTTTTTTCGTTAATATATGTGTTATTGTTGTATTTATTATTGTTGTTTGAATGTCGGTTCGTTCGTTCATTCGTTGGGTCTGTTGTAGCGACGTTGATAACAAAATGAGGTCATCAAAAGTCGGTGCACTTAATTATGGCATGACAATGCTGATGATGATGTTGAGTTGATAATTCTAGTTGAGCTCAGCACAACACAATTTGAAAATAAAATCACAAAAATACGTTTGCGCTTGCGTAAACTATTTTTATTTTATTATTGTCACACAAATTTGAATTTTGAATATTTTTTGTTTGAATATTTTTTTGAATATATTTTTTTACAAAACACTTACAAAAATAAATTTTGAATCACATTGGTTTTATTTTAAATTCTTATTCATTTGTATTTATTTTTATTTTGTTTGGTTTTTGTTTAAACAAATGGTTTTTGTTTTTTATTGTTAAACTTTTAACGCAATCGCATTGCGACCGTTGTGCAACCGAAAAATCACTTCTATACTTCAGCGAACCACCCCACCGACTGAGCAGGAGCACAAGAGTTTTCCTCGTCTGCGTCGTCGTCGTAGTTACGAATTAGAACAAAGAGAGAGAGCGAAAGATAGACAGCAGACAGAGAGTAGGCGAGTGGGGTCGGAAAGAAAGCATAAAATGTACAACACAAAAGATAAATAATACAAATCAATACAAAAACAACAACAACAAATAATATGACTGCGAACGCTGCAGCAGCAGCAGCAGCAGAAAAACAACATCAGCATATAAACAGCCACTCGTGTCAGGCTAGCGGGATGGATGGATGGCTGGTGGGCTGAATTGTTGGGCTTATCGCGCACACCACACACAACAACAGCAGAAGCACCAGCAAGAGAACAACACCACCCAGCTAGGCAAAAGCAAACAAACGAACACACATGTACACCATTTCGTCGAGCAGGAGGCAAACTGAACCATCCAAACCACACGAAAATTGTGTGTGTGCGTGGAAAACCCTAAGAAGAGAAAAATCAACTACCCCCACCACCAAGCTTTTGTTTGGATCCATATGCAATCCTACCAACCACCACCCACCCCTAGGCAGATTACAGCGAGGTATTTGCATTATTTTTTGTTTCCACCACCAAAGTCAAAAACCAAAGTAACGACGTTGACGTCTGCTTTTTACGTCGCTTATTCGACGTCGTATCGCCCCCAAAAAAACCAACGCTTGTATTGTTTGCTTTTATTTTCTGGTGCACAATCAACCATTTGCGGGGTGGTTTTTATAATATCTCTCCCTGTATATATGGATTATTTTGCACTTGCTAATAAACATAGAACCCCAGGCGCACACAATATCGTTAACATTCAGATTCAGACTCGGTGTAGATACACGACGCACACGACAATGACACGATAATGACAACGCATGCACTGCACCCTTAAACAATTATATATTTGAAACAGCTCTTCTGGACGATTTAATAGAATTTTATTTCTTTTTTTCTCTTTTCAAATTTCTAGGCATAATTGGTTTTAGCTTTCCATTTGTTTCAGATAGATGGCAATGATAGATGTTGAGGAAAAGAACACCCTTTTTCTAATAATTTCGGAATTAGAAATAGGGTTGTCGTTGTAGATTTGTTGTTTTTGCTGTTGTTATACATTTGTATGTCACATACAAAGGGGAAACAAGGTAGACCTCCCTTAATGACTTTTTAAGAATATACTTAGAATCAATATACATATGAAAGTTATAACTAAATATAAAGCGATTTAAAGCGACATTGATTTAAAATTTCAAGAAAAAATTTTGGATTTCATTGAGTTCGTCCTTAGAATAAATGTGTCATATACAATGAGCGGTAGGTTATAAATATCTCAGTCCCCATGGGCTGACACATTATTTCTGTAGAAATTTCTGTAGAAATAAAACTCTCAATCACCGAGGACTTTATCCTAAGATAACCGACCTTTTTCTATATAAAACCAGTAAGGAAAGTTCAAAAGTCAGACAGGCCGCTATAACTAAATCTGAACCAATTCCAACAAAACTTCACATACACTAATTTTAACGAAACTTGGCATATATCAATCTAGACCTAATTCAGTACTCTGTGCAAAATGTTGTCTCTATCGGACCAATATTTGCAGTATGGTGCTCCATTTAAATAAAATCGGACCAAACTATATATGGGAGCTATATCTAAATCTGAACCGATTTCCAAAAAAATCGTATATATTAATATGGACCTAATTCCGTACGCTGTACAACATTTTGTTTCAATATTATTTGGTGCACAATTTAGATGAAATCGGACGGCTGGGATTTGAACCCTGGTTCCCATGGCATCTATTGATTGTTGGCCGGCGCCTTAGCGTTCAAAGGCAC